GACCGCTGTCAGTACCGTCTGATCCGGGAATTTACAACATTCCACCGGCGGATGGACCACGGTCCAAAGATCGCCCATATCGAGAAATCGTGGTTGCATTGATGTTCTTGGCTGTTTCCACGCGCCCAGACATCGCATTCACGGTCGGTTATCTCTCAAGATTCCTTGACAAATACACGGAGGAACATTGGATCGCTTGCCTAAAAGTTTTGCGATACTCGCAGAACACGGCGGACCTGTCCATAGTGTACTCCGGCAAAAGTGATACCGCACCCGACCACACTCTCCGATTCTACTCGGACGCGGACTTCGCTGCCTGCAAAGAGACTCGCCGGTCAGTGAGCGGTTCTACCGCCACATTGGGTGGTGGTCCGCTCACGAACGCAAACAAATCGAGTTCAAGGACATCCGAATATCAGAGAATCTCGCTAACGCGTGGACGAAACCCCTGAACATACATACGTTCGAGAAGCTGAGAGCCTTAATTGGTTTACAACCACGGACTCTCTCACAATCATTCTCGTAGTGGGTTTTCTCTCCTTCTCGTCAACTGCCGCTCAGAACTACTTTGTTTATGAAGACTGCGACAGTTCTTATGTTTCGAACAACATAAGCTGCCTCATAGGCTTCGAGGAAAGCAGCAATGAATTCTTCAATCGCTGCACGTCATCATTTTTGGATTGCGAGGAACAATCAAGCAGCAAGGCGGTGTGCATGAGACCATCACTCCCACCTGTTGGAGGCGAAAAGATTTGGCCTCGATTCAAAGCCAGATTCCATCCCAATAGACCACACTCTGATAGGGATGAGGTACTACACTGGGTTTTGGCTGGCGCAGGGGTCCTGATCGCCATGACTATCATGTTGGCCTTCGCTTTGTGTTGCATGCTTCTGCCTGGGAAACGAATGTCGTACCGTCGGTACACCAATCCCTCGCCCGAGCATGGAGTGGGCAATCCCTACATACCAACAACCATCGACTCTGCCCAGCTTGTGGATCAAACTGACTAGCTTATTTCATCCACTTCAAGAGCCTGCTCCCCTCCAACCGTTCTCCGATCCAACCTCCGCTGATCCCACCCTCCTCCCTTCAATTAACCAAAAATGCCGAGGTGCACGCCTCTCTGGACATTCAAAAAGAAATTAGACCACTACTGCAGATATGAGTGTCCATATTTCCGGCCCCATGTTAAGGCCACGGCCCACAAGTGGTGGCCGAAACTCCCAATAGAGCAGCAGACCTGTTATGCATATCTAGCTGCAGTCGAAGATAACAATGAGTCACGAAAAGTTAGGCTTCAAGAAAAAAATGCTACTCTAAACAAAGATCCTTCTTATGATGTACCTGACATCAAGATAAAATACACATGAGAAAAAGAACTGGAGGACCAGCGAGACGACATGGACTTCGAGATACTGTCCCGGGCTACCAGCCCAACTGCGGGAAGATACGACAGCTTACCATTCCATACAACGGACACACCCCGTCCACCGGAAAATGAGTGCCTAACAGCATGCTCGCCAGAGCCACGCAACAAAGAAAGTCCACCAATGGAGTCTACTACGGAGAAAAATCACATCGACTCCTCGGAAAACACTGCTTCCAACATTCACTCGCCGTCCTCACCGTCGCCGCCAATCTCATCAGAGATCGAGGTCATCAAAACTGGAGAAAAGGAATTTCTCAACCCTTGACCAGTGGACTCGATCATCTCGAACGCTGATCGCCGAATCTTCGAGAAGTTAGGAATAACACCGACTTCAGCCCGGGGTCAACAGGCTGCGAGGGTATTCAATGCGATCAAGACACAATTCCTGATCACAGCGGCCCTAATCACTCATCATTGAGGACCTTGCAAATACCCTGGAGCTACACCGTGGAAAGGCGTTGCACGAGCTGGAGGCATCCCGGAGGGAAATCCGCGACTTGAAGAGGGAGCTCCGCAATGAGAGGTTGGCCACGGCCACTCTCCAACGATCGGAACATCGACTAAAAGGAAAAATCAATGAGTTAATTCGTCTCCATGTGCCGATCGGAGAGCGGATTCCTTCAGAAGACAATTCCCGCTACAGTCCCGCGCTCCACCAATTTGAAAATAAACGTTAGGACGACTACTGAATCAAGAACAGATATTATGCTGTAAATCAGATCAAACGAAATATTATATTAAATGAATCACTGAAAATTTACACTTCATCAGGACTCTCGAACAATTTGCAAACTTCAAACGACACCGGACCTCCACTAACTACATTCGCCGTTTCGGGCTCGATGCCTCTTCCTGCCAGGAGCAGTACACATTGCCGACGCAGTCTGGAGTAGCGCAGAAGGCTCTGATTTTCGGTGACACAGACAAAGCTGTCCATAGAGACCTTGCTCACAGGGCGCTCCGACACAGCTGACGCGCGCTCGTCGATTCGCATACTAGCGTCACTCTCGAACTCCACTGTCAATAGAACGACTGATCTCAATGGCTGAAAAGGAGGAAAAGCAACAGGACTGAGTGCTTACTTTATAATGTCTGTGTCCAAGTGTTTTGTTATCTGCGATAGTGGCTGCCTGAAAAACTGACCTGCGCCTGAAACAAGCCCAACGAAAACCATGATGGCAACGACGATGGCGGCCCATGCTAGACGTGATCTGCCGAGGAACCTCCTTGGTTGTCGCTCGGCCTCAGCTGCTCCGTTGAGCTCAATGATGACCTCTTCCATGCGCTCCGGCACTGGGGCGGCCGGGCTCCTGCTCACGTTCGTGGGTTGTCCGAACCGCCCTATGGTGTCTAGCACTGCCTGTAGTCTTCTGCGTCTCCTCTCCCGCTCAACTCGGGGAGAGTCTACGTCTCCTCCATATCCAAAAACTGACCAAAACCAAGATCCCAACCTTGGGGAATATCGGCGGGCTCAGGTCCTTCGAATGTCCTTCGGGGACGACTCTTGGGCATTGTACTTCTTCGTCGCACTCGTGGTCCACGCACAATTGCAGGTGGTGATGGAATGGACCTTCCGGAGCGAAGCTCCACTATTCTCACAATGAAAGTGAACGAACCTCAGACACGGAAATGGTCAGATTTTTCAAGGAAACGACCAGAAGGAAGGAAGACGGAAGGTATATCATACACTTGCCCTTTAAAGAGAATAGAGATATGCTGGGAGACAACCGCAATTCGACGCTCAGGCGTCTGAGATGGTTCCTCGCCCAGGCTCGCGATAAACCTGACCTCTTGACAGCGGTCGACGATGAAATTGAGGATTTACTCAAACAGGGATTCATCGAGCTCGCAGAAGCCCCGAAAACGGGAGAACAGGTGCTTTACCTGCCGTTGTTAGCGGTTATCAAGAAACCGGCCACGGCGGAGTCCAAAATGAAGGTGAGATTGGTCAACGACGCAAGCGCGCGGTCGCGCAATTAGGCGGGCCTGAATGACGTTCTCCATCAGGGTCAGAACCTGATCGCGGACATCATTAAGGTAATTTTCCAATTCAGACAGTTGCCAATCGTGATAACGGCCGATATGGGACGCGCATACCTTCAGTTCGAAAAAACACCAACATAGAATTTTTTTGAGATTCCTATTGCCGATTGGGATAGGGAAAAAAACCCGAGAACCCCAATCAGAGAGTTGAGATCATGTAGACTTTCGTTCGGGATGGTGAACGCTCCGTTCAGTCATTGTGCGGGCATTAGACTCCATCTCGATAATGAGATAACAAGGAAACCCGAACACAGGGAATCGCTGGAATTCGTCAAGCAATACTTCTACGTCGATGATTTAATCGCAGGGGCGAGCAGTGTCGACGAGGGTAAAAAGGTGGCGAAGGTTCTAGACGAGTCTTTCGCAACAGGTTGTTATGTCTAGAGTAGACTAACATGATGTATGAGAATGTTAGGAGAACGCTTTCCCGATAGCGTTCCTAGAGAGACGTCACCGCTACACACATTTTCCAAATAGCGGACAATAAAGTCCGCGGCAACAAGTCGGTTTCGCCGTTAAGCCTGAATGCCAGTGTCCTCAGTACGTAGTCCAAAAGACAAGGAAACTAGCGGCCTTCCAGGCGGCAGTGATAGTGAAGAATATATCAGTGGCGACGAGATAATGCAGAACCCAGAAGCGGACGACAAAGCCGGAAGGAGATTGCCATCATTCGACAAATTCGTCGAGGACGATGAAGCGTGGCCGTCGTACAAGAGCCGATTCTCAAACTTCTTGAATCTGAACGAGTATCCGGCTACGAAACGAGCTTTAGCGTTGTTGGTGCATCTCTCACCGGTATCGTACGCGAAACTGCGAGATCGCATCTATCCGGAAACACCGGAGGAGCGAACACTGGATCAACTTTTTGAAGCCTTCGAGATCATCTATACGAGAGGCAAGTCGAAATGGACACGCAGAGTGGAATTCATGGAAAGCGTCCAAACAGACGGAGAAACACTCCAGGAGTTCGGACGACGTCTGCGACATGAAGCGGAAAGGTGCGATTGGCAAGGAGCAGAGTTATTGAACAACCTGCTACTGCAATACTTCAGGGGTATACGGGACGTTCACGTAAACGATCATGTCCTGACGAAGGCTGACACGATCAAAACCCTAGATGAAGCCGTGAAAGAAGGAGAAACCGTCGCCGATCGGAAGAACAGGGTTGGAATCTTCCGCGTGGACAACGCGAGGAAGAACGATCGGTGGACCAAGAAGAATAAATCTACCAAGGCTAACTCACTAGTAAGGCTCGATGCCCATGAATTCCGTATCCCATGGGGAAGCAATGTCATCCGGCTCAAATCTCTTCTGTACGGCCGTAACCATCGATACCGAATTTTGACGTAGTTGCCTCCCACTGCCCGAAGCCCACGCTTCTCTTTTTGATTGAACGACTTTCATCAACGATGGATTCAATTGCGCCTCCTGATGCTGGCCCGTGCCGCACACGAAATAACCGAAAAGCGTTTCAATGGCTATGTAGCCCTCGACCTTCTTAATGCTGTGACCCACTATTGGATACAGTTAATCGACGCCTACTAGGATGTCAAGGTCGGTGTTCCATTGCCCCTCATTTTTGTCCGCAATCGGAGCTAGTTCTCCTCCGAAATCGGCCTCCGGTAATCTGCCTTCCACCACGTTTGGGAGTGCTGTCGCGTAAATTACCATATGAGCATCGGAAAACCGGCTCTTCATCGTTACCTCGACTATCCTGCCCACGCATTTCTTGGGGTCAGCCTGACCTGCTGAATGCAGATAAAATGTCTCTGAGCCCATTTGCTTGGCATTAAGCTTGTCCGCGAATTTGTTTGTGATCAGTGTCTTCTGGGACCCGGTTTCAAAGACAATTCTACCCACCGTTTTACGATCGTCCGACAGAATTTCGACATAACCCGTCGGGAGTCTCGTCCCGGATACGTTAACTATCTTTATTGAATTGACGCTCGCCGCATCCTCATCATTCGCGCTTACCACCGCTGTGGTCTTTATGTCTCCCGGCTTGGGACACAAAAGCATATGATGTGACATCTTGCATTTTTGGCAACCCTTTGCCTTGCAGTTCCCGACTAGGTGTCCTCCATCCAGACACTTATAGCAGACATTCCTCGCCGACACGAATTTCCTCCTCTCGCTCACGGACATTTGTTTCTGACACATTGTACTCCTATGATTCCCTGCGCAGAATATGCATGAATTATTGTCTCCGCGATGCGGAGCTGTAACACCCGCGAACGCGTGTTGGTTGGCGATGGTGCCTGGAGCCCCTGCCGGGTTGAACTTTGGATGTCCGAATCTCCCATGGAACGGCTTATACCCCGATGGTTTCTGGAATTTGTCCCTCCTTTCCGTGTGATGAGCATGGCGCTCAGATGCCGACCTGTATACCAAAGTGAGTCGTCCCACCTGCTTCTGTTCCGCGTAGAGAAAATCCAGTAGCGCTTTCAATCTACATTCTCGATCGCTCCCCCCTAGCGTCGTAGCGTACGCGTCGTCGAATCTCCTTTTCCGATCGTATGGCAAAGCCTTCAATATGATTCTAACTGGAAATGCTGACATACCTTCTAAAGTGTTGCCAAGTGCAACCAAGGACTGGACGCTTTGAGTGACATCAGTAACGAAATCCACGAAGCTCCTGCTTGAGTGGATGTCTCTGCGATTACAAGCTTCCATTAAACTGTCAACGTGCTGATCTTCGGCCATACAAATGTCGCCATATAGGTCGTAGATCGTATCTCTAGCGCTCTCGTAGTTGCTCTCGGAAACCTCTAAACTTGCGATGCACTTCGTCACCTTCTCGTTGATCGTCTTGAGTAGGAGATGGAACTTCTGCAACCGATGCTGGTCCGTCGAATCCACGTGCAGATCGAAGGCATCTCTCCACCTTTCGAATCTTGTTGGATCGCCCTCTCGGGATCCTCTGAAGAATTTCTTTCCACGTGATGTTTTTCGTCGTCGGCTTCAGGCCGATCATCGTCGAATTTTTCGGTTCCTCTGCGCCTCTTTCGTTCTGAATTGAAGTGGACCCTTTTCGGGATGGTTCATCTTCATATGCCTCCGGTTCGTGTTCACGTAGATACGCGTTGATATCGTACTCTACATCTGCTAATGCCTGCTCGTAATCGAGTCTTTTTTTCTTGTTCGGCTATCCTTTTTTTTTCGACCAGCGCTTTCGAACCGAGTAATTTCCTGGTGGCCTTTGCCAAGCGTTTACCGAGACCCGATAGTTGATCACGCGCCGCGCGAATCTCAGCGCATGTCTTCGGCGTCGGCTCCTTTTCGATGGTTGCCCTAACTCGCGTGGATGCTTCCGTCACCAGCGTACGTGCCACCTTCACTTCCCTCCGTCGTTCGTCGAAAATTTCTTTCGGGGATTGTTCGGCTCCTGAACTTTCCGATCCCTCCTTCGCCATTCTGACGATGTCGCTCGCCGTCGAGTCTGAACCACGTCATTCGACACAACAGTTCCTGAGCTCCCTTACTCGATCCCGTTTCGACGTTCGTACGTGAAATCCCTTCCAAACTTCTGACACCACTGTTACGAATCCTCGAACTTGCCAGTCAAGAGAACGATAGATTCTTGTAATAACCTCAGGGATCGCCAGTGAGGACTGCACTTGGCCTCGCCTATGTGCCGCACGGAGGTGTCTTTCTCTGTACTCGCAGGACGTCTGCTAGAAGGCGCTCTCCTGCGTTCCCCATTCGATTCCTGGGTATCCTTTCGGTTCCTTTATTAAACATTCAAACACCTTTACAGCCAGTTGGTCCTCCTCCCTTATACATAAGTATTACTCGGTCAGTGCCTCCCAAGCCGAGACTCTCCGCTACACTTAAGTAGACTGCAGCGCCGCCCTACCGGCAGTCGGAGGGACCATCTTATTCCGCGCTGTGCATGTCCGCCGTCCGGATCGAGAAGAATTCTCTCTCCTCGATCCGCAACAGTACTATTGACGGTTAAGGATAAGGCGGTAAGGGTTCCGGTGATAAATCACAAGAACGAAGCGGTCAGTCTAAAACCAGTTACGGTCATTGCGCGCGGGCAGAGGGCCTCAGATGAGCGCGAAGAATATTATGATGTCACTCGCGAGGGACTAGTTGGGAGTGGCACAGCGGACTATAAGAAGCGAAGTCTCAAGTTGGAGGAAGTGACGATCAACGAAGCGGTCCCGGATAAATTCAAATTTTGGTTACTGGAGTTACTCAACAAGTATCGGATGGTAATCCCGACAACCATGGCGGAGTTTGGTCAGACTAGGTGGACGGAATTCACGATTAATGAACTTCCCGGAAGCGCGCCGGTTTGATGCAAGCCATCCCGGTTGTCAATGACGGAAAGAGAGGCCTTGAGGGAAATTTTAGATCAGATGGCGGAGGCCGGGATGATAGAACCTTCAAGTTCGCCGTACGCGGAATAGCGAGGTGGCTAATCAGAGGGGAAGAATGGCGAAGCCTAACGTGGCGGAACCTGCGGCGGCTAGGGCGATGGCGAACGTCGGCGCGGTAATTGATCGGCAGAATGCACGTAACTCGTCGGCAACGTGCTACAGGTGCGGTCAGCCAGGTCACTTCTCGCGGAATTGCACTACGGTAGTAGCCGTGGGTGCGGGCGATAGCGAGGATGAAGAGATGCTCGAAAGAAACAAAATGTATCATTGTCGGGCATTGAAAGACGTGCTGATCAATGCTCGGCCGTGGACTGCAAAGGTGGATACTGAGGCGGGAGTTAGTATAATATCGGAGGAGGCAGCGGAGAAATTGAATCTTGAACTGCTGCCGAGTCGTTGCAGAAATATCACTGTTGGGAGATTATTATTCTGTGAACAAAGGCGTTTCCATTACTGTCTTAAAACTTTTCAGAAGTCAGTGTTTATGACTAGAGTTGCGATATGAGAGGACATTTCTTTCCCGAAAAAAGGACGATGTCCGCGCGGACATCGGGACGGAAAGCGGACATCAAAAGCGGACACTCTATTCCATGTTTTTTGCCCTTTCCATGGAATTGATTCGACTCTCCAACCATTTTCCTAATGAGCAACAGTCGACTGAACTTCGATGCCCTAACGATCGCTCAGAGACAATTCGCTGAGTGAGAAGAAAATTTCCGACCCAGCCCCCGGCGCCTCTGGCTCACGCTTGTGCAGCCAAGACCTCGGTGCCCTCGGCGAAAAAATAGCGCAGAAATTCAATCTTTATCATCGAATCTAGCGGTATTTCCTCGAAAATTCCGGAAAGCGGACATTCCCGAGGGAACCCCAAAAAAGCGGTCAAAGCGGACAAAAGAGGACGTGTCCTCTCATATCGCAACTCTATTTATGACACTTCAGTATACGAGCCAAAAACTCTGATCGATTGTAACAGAAAAAGGCTGATCACCTTTTTTCTGGGGAACTCCTCTTTTTTTCACTGTACTGGCCTTTGGAGTCCAGACGGTATATAAGCAGCATTCAAAGAAACATCACACACAGATTCTTCTGTCACACGCATCCCTTGCACCCTCATTCCTGAGTATCTTCCCTGCCAGCCCTCGACCCTCGGAGATCATCAGAACATTGTGCCGAAACAAACTCTAAACTGCAAACAGTGGCCTCCTGCCGACTGAGTACCCTTCTCAGTCAGTGAGCCTATGCTCAAGATCCTCACGGATTCCTAACATTCGTTATCAGCACGAGTGAACTCTACAGGAAACTCCACAGTCGACTTTATCATCACCGAGGTGAGTCGAGAGCTCTGTAATACCCTTGAATGACGCAGCGCGACACCGCGATCACGCTGAACGTCGATGGAAGCGACACTCCGAAGATCCGCTTCAACCCTGCCATGGCGGAGCGCCCCATTTGGGCGCGACCGTTTGGGCGCGACCGTTTAGGCGCGGCTGTTTGGGCGCGACCTATTTGGGCGCAGAGCCGTTTGGGCGCAGAGCCGTTTAGGCGCGAGCCATTTGGGCGCAGAGCCATTTGGGCGCAGAGCCGTTTGGGCGCGAGCCACTTGGGCGCAGAATTGTTTGCTCGCGGAAGTCTTGGTTGTCCGGTGAACGGCTTACGCTTTATCACCAATTCTCGTCCCAATCGCTCGGTTCCAGTGGAACGACAATCTGGATTACGACTAGACGGAAACGCCGAAAATACTTCCCCGCAGGCTTCCGAGAGCGAATCATGAGTTCTGAGTGGATCCATCTGCGTATGAAGATTATCATGCTCTTGGCGAAGAAAAAAAATGCGCTCCATACGAACACGGACGGCATCGGAGGTGCAACCTATTCTTTAACCTAGGTCTTTGAATTCTCCGCTTATACCATACTATTCGGGATGAGCGAGTCTTTAGGCTTATCTATACGTATTGACATTTGGACGCGCGAGGCCTAGACGTGTCACGTTACTCTGACTCCGACGATTCAGGGGCAGTCTGCGGTCCGCTGTTCGATGCCTGCATCCGGAAATTCCGTGCCAGCCCACGCAAGTAGTCCACCGTGGTCCTCTGACCGAATTCTCTCACAATTTTGAGAATTCGCTCATCGGCGGAGACGTACCAAATGGGTCGCGCCCAAACAGCCGCGCCTAAACGGTCGCGCCCAAACAGTCGCGCCGAAATGGGGCGCTCCGTATGCTAGATAGGTGCTAGATAGATGCTAGAGGTCACAATCCAGAGCCGGAGCGCAGTAAGTTCAGTCAAACGGCTCGCGCCCAAACGGCCCGCGCCCAAACGGCTCGCGCCCACACGGCTCGGCGCCCAAACGGCCCTGCGCCCAAATGGCCCGCGCCCAAACAGCCGCGCCCAAACGGTCGCGCCCAAACGGCTGCGCCCAAATGGGGTGCACCGCTGCCATGGTCCTCCGGGAGGATGGCAAAAACTACCCCACTTGGAAAACATTGGCTCCCGGACTCCTCCAAGCGGAAACCTACGCGTGGCAGGTAGTGAACGAAGATATCAAGCCGGACAAGGATCCAGCTATACTTGCAAAGTATGATACCGGAAATCGCAACGCCAGGGCCGTCTTCTTCAACATCGTTCATCCGAATATCATCCTCGAACTGATCTACGGAGAATCAGCCACCGTGAGTGCTGTAATTATGTGGGAAACTATCAAGAAACATTTCAATCGCAACGATGGAATCTTCAAGGAACAGGCTCTCGATGTATGGCTCAACTACGAGTACAATGAGGCTCAAAGCGTCACTGAGAACATCATGCGGTACCAGAGGTCAACCTACGGACTCGTTGCGGTCGGCTTGGTACCGTATATCTCCAAATAAAAGGCACCCTCCGAATACAAGACACTGTCGGAAGTACTATAATAGAAGACACCCCCGAATAAAAGATACCCCCCAATAGTAGGCATCCCCTTAATACAGGACCCTGTCAAAAATACTATAATAGAAAACACCCCCAAATAGAAGACACTGACTGTCCTGCATTTTCGGGGTGTCTTCTATTGTGGAGGGTGTGTTCTGTTTGGGGGTGGCTTCTATTAGGGAGTGTCTTTTATTAGGGGGGTGTCTCCTATTCGGGGGTGTCTTCTTTTGGGGGGTGTCTTTTATTATAGTAATCCTCGCGAGTCACTTATATTTGGGGGATGCCTTTTATTTTGAGATATACGGTATTGGACCCACAAGTTCTAAACTCCAAGATGGTGAGTGCCTTGCCAAGCTCGTGGTCCTCGTTTAAGCAAGCTTGGACCACTAGATCCTCCGAAGACAAGACCCTAGAGACTCTACTTAGCCGCATCAGGAGCGAGACCGCTCGTCTGAAAAACGAGAGCGGTGACATCAACGACGTAACTGTGCTCATGGCGAGGACAAAACTTACCAAAAGGAGACGTCGACCCATGAGGCAACGATACCAGCGACAGAATACGAACACGCGGAAAATGCAGTCTTACTCCCGCACCACGGAGTTACGGTGTTGGACATGTGATGGAGTGGGACATCCCTCAAGGTTCTGTACTAAGAAAAGTCCTCCGCGAAAAACCAAAGGTAAACCGGAGGCGCACGTGGCCAAAGTCTTCCTCACGAATGGAGACTCAACTGAAGAAAAGGGAAGTGCACAAACCACACAGGTGCAATTTGTTGTCGACTCCGGCAGCTCTCATCACTTACTAAAATTCAGGGTACGTGTCCTGAGCTAAGTTTTTGACTGGCAGGGCTGATTTTTCGTAGGTACACCCCTCTGACCTCGGATCACTCAGGGAGCCCTTATGACATGACATCCACGGAGTATGGATACTTACGAGAATCAAGAACGAGGAGCATCGGTCTCCCTTCCACATCCACAGAATATGAATGCTTACGAGAATCAAGACCGAGGAGTATCCGCTACTCTGTGGATATGGAAGGGAGACCGATGCTCCTCGGTCTGGATTCTCGTAAGCAACCATACTCTGTGGATGTGGAAGGGAGACCGATGCTCCTCGTTCTGGATTCTCGTGAGCAACCATACTCTGTGGATGTGGAAGGAAGACCGATGCTCCTCGGTCTGGATTCTCGTAAGCAACCATACTCTGTGGATGTGGAAGGGAGACCGATGCTCCTCGGTCTGGATTCTCGTAAGCAACCATACTCTGTGGATGTGGAAGGAAGACCGATGCTCCTCGGTCTGGATTCTCGTAAGCAACCATACTCTGTGGATGTGGAAGGAGACCGATGCTCCTCGTTCTGGATTCTCGTAAGCAACCATACCCTGGGGCGTCTGCGGAGCAAAGACATGTGAGACAGAAACATCATCGGTCGCGTGCTACCGAAGCGAAGTTCAAGGAGACTCCGACAACGGGATGCGGAGACTAGAGTTTGCCCGCCTTCGTCATGCCGATGCGCGAGCTTAGAAGTCTAACTAACGTCGAACATTTCGCGGGGGCTCTCCGCAAGCTCGCTCTGACAAAACTGATGACGATGACCAGTTCGCGGACCTTGTGCGGTCTGTCTAATCAGGAATGCGGTACGCGGCTAGGGGAGTTTCGGCACGGCAGCTCTGGGAAAATGATTCACGGCTGGATATCGGCCTCGGCCTTGAGATTGCCTACCTCTACAAGGAACTGAGTGAGACTTTTCCTCGATTGATTCCCACTGACAAACTAAAATCGCAAAAAACACGAAGCAGAAAAAGAGTGGGCTCATCATTGGTCGCTTCACGCCAGAGTTTTCTTCGGAGAAAATGAGGGCAATAGCGACATCGTTCAGTACATGACATTTGCGATTAGTACGGACTCGGCCCATTCGTCGACGTTCAGAGCTTCGGCTATGACTGCATCGGCATAGGCATGAGACAACAGAGCATTGGGGCAATCGGGAAACTTCTCTCTAAAGTAGGCGAAGCTCCTTTTGTGGACGGCATCGAAATGATCTTGTCCTTGTTTTAGGGCTTGCTCCAGTGTCTGTTTTCGGTATTTCCGAAAGAATTTCTCTTCTCTTGCGCAGAAGATGCAGATACTCTGGTGGTGTTTGTCTCGGGTTACCCTGACGCTTCGTAGCGATGACAAGCCCGAAGGCTTCGAGGTCACGAGCAGCGCAAGGGCGAATCCGAAAACATTTATCTTAGAGACATTGGTGAGCTTCTCTAAGGATGCTTGGAATTCATCGGCCCAAACTGCAGTTTCTTGCGCGGTCTTCAAGCGATCCAAAGCCTTTGAAAATAGTTCCATAACGCAGGGTCGGATCAGATCAGTCAGATCTTCGATTTTGGTCTCGTCGGAGTCGTCTCTCCATGCGACTAGATTCACACAGAACTTAGGGGTTTTGCCCGCAAGTACCTTGCTCGTTTTCAAGAGCACCTTGGCCGCGAGTGAGATGAAGCGCTGGCAAGGGCAACAGGGTGTTGGAGTAGCTTCTTCACCAACGGGCGCCATGTCCGTCGGTTTCCTCCGGTTCCCCCTCCTCCGTGCGCTTCTCTGCGCCTTCAGCTCCTCTGCGCTCATTACGGGAAACGGATCGTCCATGCCAACGAGCCCCACGGTCTTGAGGAAGTCCCAAAACTGCTCTCGAGTCAACTCATCACGTTTAGCTTCGTAATTAATGAGTACTCCCGAGCGCGCAAAATTTTTGACAAGGAGATCGAAACGATTCCTCGCCATGTGGAGCGTCATTTTTTTCAGTGGATTTCTCGGGTTGTCATTTTCCAACTCAGCGAAAAATAGTAAAACTGATTCCAGGCCCTCCATGGACCAGGTGTCGTTCATATGCTGTCGCACGTACGCTACAACTTGATTTGCCAGCACGGACATCTCCTCTGAGGAGGCGAGAGCGTCGAAAATCTGCGGAGAAACAGTAGAAATCGATTGGTAGCGGAATCGCGGTTCTTTGCGGTTTTTAACCGCGGGTCTCCTGGCGCGGTTCTCAAATAAGCGGTTCTTTGACATGCCTACTCTGAGGACATCCGACTCGGAGACGATGAATTCATCGACAGAGGCGACAGAACGAGGGGCTCGGGGGCTAAGGGGGCTATAGCCCCCCCCCCCCAATATTTGTTTTTCACAACGGTGGAGCATAGGGAGAACCGCGACTTCGGAACTTAGCCCCCTCCAAGATACGGTCGAGCCCCCCCCAAATCCTGCGTACGCTACTGGCTTGTTGGATGGATATGTCTGGATGTTTGAGATTTGATACGTCTCGTCTCGAGATCTGACGGTGCCGTCACGTCGGTAGAGAGCAAGAGCTAAGTTGGCCGACAGGATTCCGTTGCGAGGCGGCTAGAGGTCGGAGAGTAAGGAGGAGCGAAGAAATCGCGTTCACAATGAAGTAGTGACCGAAGCAGCTAATGGGGGAGGGGGATGAAAAGTACAACCTTCGATATCGGATTCCGTGGAGTGCTTGGCGACAATCCTGAGCAATAGTTAGAATAATCGGATTCTCTCCCGTAGGAAAGAACAGTGGGTCGCCAGAAGAACGAAAACTTTTGATGTTTCATGACAGCGAATATATACATCTAAGAAACTGGAAAGCCTCATCTGTCATGAATGTCATGAATACGAGCTGACATGAGTTGGATACAATGGAAAATACATAGAAGTCCGACCGCCCACTCCATGTGGCCACAGAAATGCGCCCATCCGAGCCAGCAAGGGAGGGGACTGTGACATCATGTCGATTGGCTGCCGATTCTGCCGATTACGCTCTGTGTTTCGATCATCCCGCTGATTTAGCGGGTAGATTACGGAGTCGGTTGAAGAATCCGGCTGTCGGGCCAATGGGTGCTCACTCGCTAGCCGCTCGCTCCGCCGGCTCGGCGGGCTTTTGGAGCCCTCACACTTTACACTACGTAAATGTTGTCGCGTGGGCCCTTAGCCCTTATTGCGTCTTTCGATTGAGATGGTGAATTTCAAGCAAGCAACTCTGATCGTTCCCAGCACCCCAACGGGCGTGGATCGTCTCCGATCCCCCTTCTCGAGCCCGCAATCGTTGTCCCTGGAGTGTGATCGTCAATCTTCCGGATTCGCCGACGAAAAGATTATCTGCGTAAATGCGATGTTCACTGGCACTGTTGCGAAGTGTTTCATGGGAAGAGGTTAGAAGCGGATTTTGAAATGTGCCCGATACTCTGCCCGTCATGCAATGAGAAGGAGTGGGGAAGATCACCTCACAAAGGCGATCTTCCCCACTCCATCTCATTGCATTCCCAAAACATAAGAGTCGGGCTTTCTTATGATCTCGTGACCATTTAGATATCACCAGATGACTGATATCTTTCATTATTATTATTATTATTATTATTATTATTATTATATTACGTGATGATTGGCTCAGCGAGCTCCTTCCTCGGTATTATTCATGATTATGTTTTTATTTAAGCTGCATATACAATGCGAAAATAAATTCTAGAGAAAAAGAAAAAAAAAAAATTAATGTATGCATAGAATGCAAATAAGTGATTTAGTGGCCTCCCGCCGCGTAAACAGGATCATCCTGATCCGCATCAGCGAGCATCTCGTCATGCTTCCTCTTTCGTCTGCGATTGGAGATTCGTGACTCCTTCACGTCCTGTCTTCCGCTCCTTTCCGCTCTCCTAATCCTCTTCAGATCTGAGGTCCTCATAGTTTGTACACAGAACGGTTCTGGCGCGATTCCGCCAGCTTCCAATATTCGACAAAGAGCCACGTGGCCGTCGTTGAATTCGGAGACGGCAATGTGGACGCCTTTCTTTAGCTTCGGAAGTGATACGAAAACCGTTTTCGGTAGTTTCGTCCAGATGAGGTGGTTCGCACCCTCGTTTGGATTCTGTGTTTTGCCATGCAGGCACTTTCGGAGCAAGCGAATATCAGACAGGTCCTCAAAAGTTCCGCGCAGCTCTTCCATGAGGCACCGCGGTAAATGCTGGTGTTGCTTGTGGTCGCACTCCTCAGGTTGTTGCAAATACTTGCACCAGGAAATTTCGCAAAGAGTGTGGTCGGGGAATTCGTTTGATGACTGCATGTGATTGAAGATGGCCCAAATGGCCCTCATCATCTTTTCGACATCACTCGTATTTCCTCGTATCGCGTTTCCGTAGTAACTCTGGATTCGGTCGATGGTCTCATCTGTCGGACGATTTCTCCCCCCTATCGGCTTCCCATCTTCAAGCTTCCTTCCTCGGAATGCTGTTTTCAATTTCCTAAGTCTTGTCCCCATGCGTTTCTGGATATGCCCCACGCACTCTAATTTTTCGATTTCCACCTCGCTCCCGTACGGTCTGTCGGACATGACGGCGTTGTAGGCTTTCGAGTCACCATCCCCGAGATACTTCACGTATCGTATTCCATGGAGCTCCACTGAACGACGGAAAATTTCTTTGGCTCCTTTCTGTCACGAACGGACTGGGTCCATTGCGCATCCACCTCACTCACAACACAATATCTTCCCCAACAGATTAGTTTCTCATAACCAATATCAACTATTTCCTCAGATGGACCAGAGAGACTCATTGGGGGAACTTAGGATCAAGGATCCATATTTATTCATTTCCATATTATTCAGTGTATATTATTATCATATCAGCATCGATTATATCTCCAGGAGAGATAAGAATAAATCCAGAGGAAGTCGGGCCACGCATTCAGATAAAAAACACACATTCAGCGCAGCGCGGATCGTTCATGCCAACTTCTCCCGCTCACGGCGCTACAGTCAACAGTCAAGCAACCGGCTGACGGAGAAGTCGATCGTCGATCCACACACACACACACGAATACACACACAGTCTGTCAGAGATCAAGAGAGCGGTCCACGTACCGCTACATCTGGAATCTCAGAATCCATTCAACCCGAGGGGTTCAAATCCCCGTGGAGTGAAGTTAGTGGCCGGACTGGGATCAGACCCGCTAGCGAACTCAACAATCATCACAAGCATAGTGCGCCCGCTTTCTCTCGTGATTTCTCCAGCGTCTTCATTGAGTGATTGTTTTAGGACAGTGTGCCACATTTTGGTGTCAGAAGAACAAAAGAACCCGCGCTCGAGAACTCAGAATCCTCGGCCGGTCATCATTGAAGTGAGAAGCTCCGCAGAGCTTCAACAACTTCCATCAGAAGACTCATCAGAGAATCCCATCGGCAAGGCCCACGCTAAGTAGACAGAACCTCTTCAAGTTTCGCTCGAACAGCTTTAAAGCCTGCGATCAAGGGAATCCACATCAGTGATCCTCAGAAGCTGAAAACTCAGCCCCGAACTTCGTCGGTTTCCAAATTCGGAACCTGAGTCTCAGATCACCGGCTAAGCCTAGCTCATGTGCAATGCTCCGGAGAGCCTAAACTCCTCCTAAGCGCAAAAATGAGTGGCCCGAGCAAAACACCGACTCAGGAGATGTCACAGGAATCATTCGATCGAGAGAATTCCAAATTTCTCCAGGATCAGTTCTGCACGATGAGGGTAACCGACGACCCGGCTGACAGCGAAGAGGAGAACCTCATCCGAATCACTCAGAACATTCCAGTGAGATCCTCATCTCCCGCGAACGAGACGAATCTTCCAGGGGAGCAAGATCAACCTCCCCAAGCGGATCAGCCTTCAGGCGAACACCCGGCCCAGGCCATCCCAGATTCCCCAGTACTAAGACCGGCGTCACCCCCCAGAAATCTGAGCATTTCCCCAAGGAGGGCAAAACTCAACCTTCTCAAAACTCGGATAGACCTCTACAGGGAAATCGCGGGCACGTTCCACAACGAGGAGACGAACCTAAGGGATGCACTCACTGAAGCGGATCGTCTGAAGGAGATTCTCTCGAAACTCTCAAACCAGTGGACTCAAGCCTTAGAGGCCCTCATGGAATTCGAACCTGAGACACCACCAGAGATCTATACGCCTCTCGTCGACATAGAGAACGATATCAGCAGATCTCTAACCTTCCTCAAGGAGCTAAGAGTCTCAATCGTAGCCGAGATAAAAACCTCAACGGAGTCGACATTCGACACGATACAGGACATTCCACCGGCTACCGCTCCACTAGTCCCAGGGAACGCTCAAGTTCCAGCGCCAGCACCGATCACCCAAGCAGAGGGCGGTCCGTGGCGCACTTCAACCAGAGTCGACGAAGTCCGAGGAGCGCAATCAGGGAACCCGACACCACCACCGGAATCCCCTCACATCTCCCATATTGTTCAGATGCCCCCTCCGGAGTTGACTCCCAGCATGGGCGATCCAGGATCCCCAGATCAACCCCCTCCCAGCTCAAACAATCAGCCACAGGCAACGGTGAAGGAGAACAATACAACCACGGATAGTCCGGAGAACCCAGACAATTATCTGCCGAAGCTTAGCAAGAACTTCAAACTACCGAAATTCAATGGCGACTCCAAGGGATACCGTAAATTCATGGACACCTTCAACGTCTTCGTCCACGAAAGGCAGATCCCAACGCTCCAAAAGATGATACTCCTCCAGGACGCTCTATCAGGAAAGGCATTCCATGCCGTCAAACACTTGAACCTGAGGGCCGAAAGTTACGAGCCAATGAGAGAGCTACTCGAGGAGGAATTCGGTCAGACCAACTACGCTGTGGACGCCCATATCCAAGAGATGGAGAAGATCCTGACAGCTGGAGGAGATATCACAGTCGATAAGTTACCCCATTTTGCCAATCTGGTCTCTCAACATATCCAAGCTCTCATTGCCCTAGGCAACTCATACACTTCTCTCTCTCTTTTCTCAAACAGGATACTAACAAAACTAACAGAAAACACACAGCGCAAGTTTCTAGAGTTTTTCAGTTCCCAACCCCAGGGCTCGAACCAACTCGAGTTTCTCATCGAATTCATGAAGACCGAGGCCCGTATGACGGAAGAGCTCTGAGCGAAACAAGGAGCAGTGAAGAGACAAATCCCGAACGATCAATTCGCCAAGGGCTTCCACCGAGACCAGAGCGACAAACCGACCTCCAGCGGACCACACCGCCCAAGAAACCCATTCCTTAGAGGAAAAACAAATCAGGAAGGACCCTTCTCGTACAAGAACCCGTATAACAGCTTCCATATCAACTCCATGACGTCAAAGATCCCGAGTCGCCCGGTACCAAGTACACCAAAGCCATCACAGGCTATCCCATGCATCTTCTGCCAGGCAGACCATCCCCCGTTCAAGTGCACCGCCCAACTCACTCATCAAGAGCGTATGGATAGGGTGACAGCGGCGGGAGCGTGTCTACGCTGCCTCAAGCTCAATCACATGGCGAAGAATTGCAGGGAGGGACCGAAAACCAGCTGCCGCTTCTGCAACTCAAGACACTACGCAATTATCTGCAGCAAGGCTCCCATCCAACAGAATGTACCGCCGACGAAGCATACATCGGTCAATCTAAACAACGATTCCGATGAGGAACAGGTCTTTCTGTGGACAGCACCCGTAATTGCTGAGAGCAAAACAGAAAGCCACATATGCAGAATCCTCATCGATCCAGGATCGGAATCCTCACACATCACCGAAGCTATGGCTCGGAAACTATGGTCAACATGACCATGTCAACAGCAGGAGGTCATGTCTCAAACATCCATGACCGCGGCATCCACGACATCACTCTCAGGAGTTGGTTCAATTTGGAGAAAGTTCTTCAGCTCAGAGCAATCGAACTCCTGTGCATTTCCCGTTCCCAATTCCCCACCCTGAATCAGAACTTCGGTCTTCATCCGGCAGCTGATCAGGCGGGTGACAAAGGAACGGAATGGGTCGATATACTCTTCGGAGTGAAGAACCTCTCCAAGCTAGGCTTCACCAACCCAAAAGCGTTCGGCAATATCTTCGCCTTCGAGTCCATTTTCGGCTGAGTATTCGGTGGAAGCGAAGGGTCATCAAGAATGCACAGCCCACTTAACAAATTCTGCGGTTCCGTATCAGCACACCCGTACAAACCCCTAGCTCAAAACAGACAACCAGAACCTTCAGACGACACTTCTCCACTCGAGGAGTCCGACCATAAACCAGGAAGCCTGAACTCTACCCGAGACGACATAGATTGCCTCTGGCTCTCTGAAGACCTAGGGTTGGAGGATGACCCATCCAAGGAGCAGAAAGAGGAGGAGGACTCTCTCAACAAAGCCCTCATCGATCACTTCGAAAAAACTACCACCCAAGATCCATCGGGAAGGTACATACTCAGACTCCCCTTCCGGGACAACGTCCAAGCTCTAGGAGACAACGAGAACCTGGCCAAGTCCAGGCTATTCTCATTCCTAAAGAAAATCAAGGACGACCCAGTGAAGCTCAAAGCGGTGGACGATGAGATAGAGGCATACATCGAAGCTGTTTTCGCCGAGAAGGCAGAGCCGAGGGCAGACAATCAACTAGCACATTATCTCCCCATCCAAGCCGTCTTCAAGCAGAACCCCGACACTCCCACAGGACTGAAGACCAGAGTCGTCAAGGATGCAAGCGCTAGGCGGTCTAACGAAGCAGGATTGGATGATGTACTCCATCAGGGGCCGAACCTCCTTCCAAACCTGATCAAAGTCATCATGAAATTCAGACAATACAGATACGTCCTCACAGCCGACATAGAAAAGGCCTTCTTGCAATTTAGAATTGCGGCGGAGGATCGCACATTCTTGCGATTCCTCTGGCCTCTCGGCATATCATCAAACGGCACGGTCAGGACTCAAGAATTCTGGGCAACCAGACTGGACTTTGGTCTAGTCTGCTCTCCACTCCTACACTGCCAAGGGCTTCGTTCACACCTCAAACGCGCCCAATCGAAACACCCAAAGTTCAAAAAATTCCTCCAGGAGATCATTGACTGCTTCTATATGGACGATATACCATATGGATCGGACATCCAGGATGCGAAGGACAAAACTACACTACTCATCAAGATCTTCGAGGAAGCCCAAATGCCATTAAAAAAATGGGCGACCAACGAGCCCGAACTCAGCACATTCATCAAGAATACAACACCGGTCGAGGACCCAACTATCTCCTGCAATCTTCCATCCAGTAAGTTTCTCGGGATCCCATGGAATCAGTCTTCAGACACCATCTCAGTCCCAGTGTCGAAAGCGGTCAAGGAGCTTCAATCCGGATCACCTTCTAAGAGAAAACTGCTTAGAGGGTTAGCTCAAATATTCGAGCCACTGGGGATAATGGGACCCATGACAATAAATTCAAAAATATTGCTGCAGAAACTCTGGAAGCAGAAACTAGGATGGGACTCACCTCTGGAAGGAAACAATCTATCGGAACTCACCGATTTCATCAACCTACTCATCCAGGGTGAGGTGTCCAT